GAAAAGAACACATCAAGAGAGAAACATGAAGAACAGACTGAGACCCAGAAACCTACCTACAATAAGACACACCCACAGACTCTCTGGGGGGACAGAGTCAGATCTGCAAAGATAGCAATGTGCAAAGATGTACAGATGCGTGAAGACTGACTCTTGGACAGACAGACAGACACAGGGATACACAGAGAGGAAACATAGGTATGCAGAAACAGTGACACAGAAACAGAACAACAGTTTGAACCTTATGGCAGGCTGATAATACTGAGAGGAAAGGAATATGCAGGAGACTTAAGATGTATGCTAGTAAAATTCAGAAAATTTGAAATTCTTAGGAAGTAAATAATTTTGAACATGACATGGTACTTATAGTTTAAGACTTAAATATTTTTATTCATCTATTTTATTTCATTTCATTTTTATCATCTAAAATAGAATACTTACTAAAAGATTTCAGTCTTTCCTTTAGTTTGGGGTCCTTTTCTTTTAAAGAAAGTCTTTATAAAGTATGTACATTAAAGAAGAAGGCTGAAAGCTATTCTGAGGGACAGTCTGATCATTACGTAAATTACTGCATACAGTTTTGAAGTATAGAAAGGTACCGTGCTAAATGTATATTTTTCTTTGTTTGATTTTGATTTTCATAGTTACAACTTTCTATTTACACTGCCATTAGTGGTTTACCTTCTCGCTTGAGACTCTAGGCTGCTTTTGATGAGTTTATGATTCAGATAGCAGACTGAATTCTGTTTAAAGTGATAGTATACATTGTATTTGTATATGGTTTATTGTAACAATAGCAGTTTTGTGCCTGCACTGTTTGCATTTACTATTGATCTTTCTTTTTAAGTTCATGATAAGAAATTTTGATGTGAACTGGAAAGAGTTTGTTGTGGTTATTTTCTTCTCTTATTCAAATAAACAAGCAAACATTCTTATTTTGAATAGTTAAAAAGGCAGTCCATTCAACTTAGGTATAAAATAAAATTAGAAGACAAATAATGATGTGCCTCCTATTTATATTCTCTAGTCTTAGGTCACATATGTGAAAGCCATCTTATTCACATTAGAGACTGGTGGATGTTTAAGGGAATCACTTTTAATAAAGCTGAAGAGATAGACGCTGTAGAGGAAACACTTGCCAGGTGTAGCCAAGCAGCAAAAAAGGACCCCTGATGCCTGGGCTACCTTTGGAAAGGAAGGCTTTAGGACCAAAAACATAGGTGCCAGAGAGTTTGTAGGAGGCGTGTGCTGAGGGAGTACTGACTAAAACATTAATAAGAAGATGTGCATATTATTGGAGCTTTTGACAATAGAATGCAAACAAAACGTTATTTATGTGAGAATGGTCGTAAGCATTAACAACCAAACGGGCACGTGCAGCATCTTGTCAGTATCACTTCAGCAGTGAGCTCTCTCTCACATGTCATCTTCATCTTAAAGCTCACAGTAGTAGTCTTAAATCGCTTAAAGTTCTATCTCACACAGACATTACAGCCTATTTGTGTGATTAGTATTCTATTAAATCTTATTTTACCTTTATAAAAGAAAGTGGCCTAATTAAAACTTACGTAGCCATGTCTTCGCGTTGTCTTGCATTCCATAAGGAATACCCAAGTTGCTTTTTTTCTGTATTTCTTTTTAAATACAATTTTAATAAAAATTAATTGTGTCACTTTCCTCCTTCTCTTTCCTCTATCCAACCTATTCCATTGTCTTCCTCTCACCGCCCCTCAAATTTATGGTCCTTTTCTCTGTTATTGTTACATATATACACATACATGTGCACAAGTATGAACATCAATACAATCTTTTGCTAAGTTTCTTCTACAAATATTGCTGAAACACTTTAAATCCAAGAGTTTATTAAATAAATAATGTAGCAGACATGAGCATTTCCTTTGTGTTTTGTCATTATACACATTTTAGAAAATGTGAACCCAACATAGATGAGATTGGTTGTGAAGACATCTAAAAGCATCACGTTTTCTTTAGTTGAAGGGCAACATTGAATGAAGGAATGAACAGAATAATTTCAGTTCCTAGAAGTGACATAGCCACATGAGCACTGATGCCATCTTTTGTCCTCTTAAGTAAAGATGTTTTACCTTCTATAAAATCTTTGTTTCTCAGGATTCTTTTTGTGTTTTTAAAGAAGTAAGATGGAGTATCATGAAGAACTTAAACATGTATTTGAGCAGATAGTTTTGTGGTTGGTTTTTTAAGTCTTTTTTTAAATCAATTACACGTAGCCCTTCATATCTGTGGATTGTATAGCCAAGAGTTTAACCAGCTGAATGGATAAAATTTGAGGAAAACTTGTGTCTGGACTGAACAGGTGCAGATTTTTTCATATTATCTTCTAAAGAATACAGCAGAGTGACTGTATAGCATTATACATTACAGCCAGTCCATAAAGGATTTGAAGTATTGGAAAGGCTTGTCTGTAGGCTATGTGCAGATTCTATGCTGCTCTCTGTTTAAAGGACTTGAGGATTTTACATGCAGGTTTTGGTATCAGTGGGGCATCATAGTACCAATATCTACATATTTATTTGAGTGTATTAAAGAAGTTATAAGACTCATATATATCATAATTTGAAATAGTATTATAAATTCCTAAGTATTTCTTACACTAATTTGGATGGTTTAAACACAGAAGTATGATCTAGGGATTTAATACTTCACGACAACCTTTTGGAAACTGTTTATGTGTTATATATGGGTAGGTATGTTTGCCAGAGTATGTACACTTACATAGTATTGGTAAAAAAAAAAAAAAACAAGGGCTGAGTAGCAGTTACCTTCAGAAAATTGTGAAACTTATTTAAATTTAGAACCTTTAGGGGTCAGTGTTCCCTAAGAAAGGTTAAAAAAGGCTATAGTGAATATCAGAAATATATTAAAACTCCTATCTTTTAAGTATATTTTACTAATTGAAAGTTAAAAAAATAGTATGAATCACCTAGCTTGAGAAAGCTTTACATAAAAATCTGTGCTCTGTTTAGACTGTGGAAATTTCTCCTTTTTAATAAAAACCCTTTAGTTTAATGAAGTTTTTCAATATTATACTTGCTTTTAATATTTTAAGGAATCACATTTAGTATACAATTTATACAAAGAGGAGCCATTTTCACTTACACATTTCCTTAGTCCAATCCTACATGGGCTACATAGCTTTGAACTATTTTCCTTGAAGCTTCAGTGTATTTTAAAATGAGTGTGATTCTACATCAGGAGTCTTTGTACTTATGTAACATTGTGAAAACCCCACCCAAACTGCTTAAACAAATAGAATCTATATATTATACTTGATTGTAATCTGTATAAGTAAATTTATTTAAAACTCTACTATTGTCTTTATTATTTTAAAATTTGACCAGAAAATATTTCATACAGCTCTGGTTCTTGTTTTTTAATAAACAAAATAAATAGGCCCAGTTTTTATAAAATGAATAAAATTGTCATGGTGATGCACACCTATAATCCCATCACTTTAAATTATGGCAAGATAATCAGGAGTTCAAGGCTGTGCTTAGCTATATTATGGGCTCAGTATAGCATGAGCTACATGAAACCTTGTCTTAAACAAATAAGTTAATAAATAAAACATGGCAGAAGATGACTTTTAAGTGTTATGCTAGTCTCTTATTGAAGCACAGCTGTTTATTTGTGCCTGGTACTTTGAGTATGTACTACCCTATGTCTCTTGTTATTGGTTAATTCATTTTACTCTTTGGCAGAGTGTGTGTGAGGGTGCACATGTGTGCGTGCACATTGAGAGTGCTTTTCATCTTTTGAGAAGTTTCTTCTTTAGTAATGGAATTCAAGTTTGATTTACTAACATTTTGTAAGTAGACAACTAAAGAAGCCTGAGAGAAAACCACCTGTGATGCGTCTAGATGACCTTGATCATTATGAATAGAACATTACTTTTGTGAACTAGTTTATTGTGTTGAGATAGGAAGGAAGTGGCTTGGAGGAGACAGCTCCTTCCACTGGCAAGATAGCTAGGAGGAAAGAATTATGATTCCCTGGACATTATGATTAGATTCTTTACACAGAAAGTTTTAATATCTGTAAATAGCTAACCATTCTGTGATAAGTTGTAGGAAAGAATTTCTATTTAATAGAAGATTTTCTAGTAAGCTTCCTAAGTAAATAATCTAAATAGTAATTAGTTGTTTTCTTGTTCAAGTCTTTTCTTGTTACCTGTGTTTGAAAGAAGGTAATTGTACTGTGAAACCCAATGCATTTTGTTAATTTCAGTAAAAAGATATGATAAAAATGCCACAAATTTTGGAGCTATATAAGCAGAAATTCAGTACTGTAAGTCTTATTTGCCATGCACCTAGACTTGGATGCAAGTTTTATAATGCTTATATTTTGTATGGGGAATTGAAAAGACAATTTTTCTTTGCTGTTAGGAATATCAGATTTGCTGTATGGAAGAGCACTGCTACAATTTTCAAAACATAATGTGGGTTATTTAATGTGTGCTTTACATATATGCTATGTATATGACAAATATCATTTTAGCTAAAGTGATAAAGGAGTGGCTATAGATGTTAGAAACAAAAGATTGTTGACATATTTTATGTAACATTTAAATACATTTTGATATTATTCCTTTTTGCTGTGAACAATCAATGTGTTAGATGTTCAAGAATATTGGGAAATATTAAAACAATATTTTATATGGTTATTAGTTTAATACTTCTTATATTTGTATTTAATGTTCAATATGTCATTAGAAACTTGATTTTTAAATGAGATATATAAACTACAGAATCAATAATGCTTACCTAGGGTAAAATCCAATTTTATATTTATTGAAATGCTGGTTGTAATAAAAGCCTTTAGACAACTGCCATTGACATACAGGCTTAAAGCCTATTTATTTCCACAAGTATGAATTTAAGATTGTATTTTATAATTTTATGCATGCCCTAAAGAAGTTGAATAAAGAGCAAGACTGAAGTGTGATTAAATTTACTATTTAGCTCCACAGGACTTGGCTTAACAGTGTGCTAGTAGTTTCTGCACATGATCGTCTAGAATATCAGATGGAGAGGAGGTAAGATTCCTACCGGTGGCCAGGAAGGATTGGCTGTTTCTGAGGAGATGTGGACTCTTCCTTCAGAACAATGATGTAGGGTGTGCTCCTTTCCTAAAAAAATAATTTATTTTAGTATGTTTAATAAGATTTTGTGTCTCTTTATTTTTAAAGTTTAGTTTGAATGATTCTGTTATTACTTGTGCCTCAGCAAAAGAATGGAATTCTGTACGAAAATGTTTCATAAGCTAACTTATATTTTTAGTTGATTATGGCATTTAGTATGGACTGTTCCCATAGTCATCATATTTGATATGAATGTGTCACATAGCTGAGTTTTTAGTAGGTTCATTCAAAATATTTCTTGGCAGTTGTTTGTAATAGCTTTCATTTTTTTAGAGCACACCAAAATAGAGAGAATGTCATAGTGTTCCCCTACACCCCCTCTTCCCTCCTATACACAACCCCTTTTACTACAAGTATTCTGACCACTGTGGAACGTTGGCTATAATCCATGAACGTAGCCATAAATTCTCAGTGAGGGGAAATTCTGAGAGAATAAGAATGTCTGTCTTCTTATCTCAAATCTCCTTGTTTCCTCAAATCCAGATGGGGATACGATTCTTCATATGACATTCTTAGTATACTCTTGGTCTCTCAGCTTATAATCATCATCATCAAGAATAAGGATGAAGATGCTAATATCTTTTCATAGGATCTCCTTTTCCATATTTCTATTCCATTGTTACAGTGTTCTTCTAGGATAACTTAATGTTTTTCTTTTTAATGTTTTATTTTTATTCTTATTTATTTCTTAATTTTAATTCCTTTCCTTCCCTAACTCCTCCCAGTCCTTCCCCACTGGTCACCAACCTAACTTTTTATTCTTTATCTCTAAAACAAAGCCAAAACACACAGATATTCTCCCCCTCTCTCTCTCTCCCTTCCTCTCTCTCTCTCCCCCACTCTCTCTCCTGTTTTAAAATGTGGATGATCTCCCAAGTTTAATTGTGGGTCATGAAAATATTGCTTGAGCTTGTAAAAAGATTTTGCTTCATTTTTTAAACAATATTTTGTCTTCTTCCCTAAAAAATATCCTTGTTTATTTCTGGCTATTTCATTTTATTTCAGAATATTCTCACACTCCTTATTTATAACACATGTCTTCATATCTTATTCTTAAATCCTTAATTTTTAATAAATTAGATTTTCTGGTTTTTAAAACCCTATTCTTAAAATTGTTAATATTGAATTCTGGATGTGTTCTGGCATTTTGTTGGTCAAGGAAATTAGTGTACATTATATAAACTAATACTAAGGTAAGTTACTGAGTTATTGTGGTTGAATATATAGAATGGACATGGTAGGACCGACTTTCTGGGTTGAAGGCACTTTTTAGATTGCAATTGGTTAGCAAAGCTGTATGTACATCTACTCACAGATCAGTCATGCATAAATATCTATTTATGGGAAAAGAGTGTTTTGGAAGATTTACTCAAATATTCCAACATTTGATGCCTTGGTTTCTTATCATGTAGGACATTCTTTTGGGGAGAATTTCAGATACTCTTTTCCAGTATGTTTTGTTTTTCTTGGATAATATGAAAAAGCTTAAATGAGGCAGGCCTCAAATTGTTGAAACTGGTAAAATAGATTACTTTTGTTTTCAGGAATTGAATTAAAAATGTTCTAAGATGGCTGATTGTACTCATGCACAGCTTGTGTGCAACCTTGTCTTTAGTGTCCAGTGGTGCCCAAAATTAGTTTGTAGCTTTTAGGTGAAACTGGTAACACTTTGCCAGATCATAGGATTTATTGAGAAGATAAAATATGAAAAGAAGAATAATTATTAAAGAATATTTTAGCTTTCATATTTAGATTTTGGATTGTTCTAGTTTTCAAATATAATCTTCCAGTACTTGAGAATTAGTATAGTAATGACTAAAAATGAAACAGTCATTTCATATTGATAAAATGTTTGCTGCCTAAAAAGTCGTGTGTAAGTTTTGTGACTTGATATTTTTAAAAGTGCAAATTAAGTCATCTTTTAATTGTGACCGTTAATATGATGTGTTCTGAAATTATCAACTTACTAAACATAACTAGCAGAATTCATTGCTTTGAATATTGTTAGTATAGCAAAATAAACATGATAAGCATTAAATGGGTATTTTCTTCTTAATTAATTTTCTCACCTGCCCTAATAGTACTTTTAAAAGTTGCAGATTTGTGTCACTTTCTCAAAGATTAGTGTAATTAGAATTAATTTCTTATAATACAATATGTATTAGTAGAAAAATTTTTGATAAGAAAGACAGAATAATTATATAATCCTTAAGGTTTCATGCTTCTGTTAAGATTTTGAGTTGGGAATAATTGTTCTGTATTTTTCCCAGATTAATGAAAATATAAATAATTGTAGTTAAGAATCGATTTTAAATAGATTATTTAAAATGTTGCTTTAAAACCAAGTGTTGCAAAATTTGGAAACACCAAATATTTTTACTCAGTTGTTTTTAATAGTTGAAAGATTAAAAAAATAAATCTGTCATTTTATCCTTCATTTGTGTTTTATAATCTACTGATAGGAGTTTAAGATAACGACCCGGTCTCTTTAGCCCAGGTAATAAGAACAAAGCCCCACCCCCCAGCCCACAGAAGATCACTGAAGTAGTCCTTGGTCTACTGAAATTTTAAAAGAGGTGAGCAACAGGAGCATGCTGTGCATTTTTAGTAGGCCATTTGCTTTCTAAGATCTTCTATACTGGCCTTTTATTACCTTTTTCTGTAGTCTCTGCTCCTCCCCCACGTCATTGGAAATGAACACATTATCAAAAAACAAATTTACTTTTCTGAGGCTCAGGCTTTTCTTTCTTCTTCTCTCTCTCTTTTTTTTCTTTTATCTCAAGGTCTCAAGGATTTAATGCTTTTAAATGTTTAAAGTGTCAACTACAACCATGGCTGAGGATGCTTTTCTCATAATTACCTAGGTTGTAGTGCAGGAGTCAGAATTATTAATGAAATAGCTCTTCTACCTTTTTTTAGTTTTATGATTTTGTTTTTGTTTTTCTTACCAATTATGGCAAATTTGAATAAAATGCATCATTTGCATAGGAAGTTATGTAATAATGCCATATAGAGTATAATGATTTCCTAAAACCTTGTATTTAAAATAACCTGAATTACAATGAGAGATAAACAGAATATTTACTCATCCCTTATGAGCTGCTGCTGATATGTAAATTTATTCTTCTACTTTGCACAAATATACTTTTGAGCTACTGCTTAAACACTTTCAGGTCCTTAGTCAAACAGTTTTAATGATGCCTCCAGTATTATGAAAGTGTGACATTTGATGAATGTCTCATATAGTTTTGATATCTGGGTACTTGTCAACAAAAAAATTGAGCATTAGTTTGTCATGCAACACCTAGATAATTTATAATTTTACTGTTTATATCCATCTTGACATTTTTTATCTGCCAAAGGCAGGTTTCATTTGGAATCTTAATCTGAGATTTATTTGGTGGATCTGGAAATCATCGCCAGGGTTCCCACAGGAAATGGTCCATCTACCAACAGATTAAATGGCAGTCCTGCAGTTGTTAGGGGAGCTGCGCATTTAACACACATGCATACTCATTCAGTCAGCACTGTGGAGAAAAATTAAAGTAGTAACCCAGGTTTAGGAACAATGTAGCTAAAAAGTCCCATATTTGCTGAATGACAAAGGGTTATATAGCAGCATTTCATTTTATTATTCGTGCTTGAATTTCTTGTTTGCTTTGTTGAGTCGGCTGGCGAATACTAATAAACGCCTGCAACAATCCAGACGAGAGATGCCTGGCAACAAAGCTACGCGGTGGACCTCCCTGATCTTCTCCAGTTCACAACCTGACCTTTTGAAAAATTGCCTGGGCTAAGCTGCAGAATTTGGGTGTAATGGTTATTGTTAACTCCAGCTTTAGGATTTATTAATTTGTGTGATCAAGACTTACCTATACTTCAAAGTTTCAAAAGACCAAACACAATCATCCATCCATTAGAACTAACATTTTATGTCAGTGATTCTCGATTAGTATCTGAGTGGTGGTTCTTCTATTTTATTTTCTTATTTCAAAGATATTCTTAAACAAAATGAAAGGGACATAGAAAGAAAATCTGTTTTCTGTATATTTTTTAGAGCTTTTGTCTCTATAAAAAGTATCAGAATTTGAATTTATAATAGCTGTGCATTTAACTTAAGACAAAATGTACGATTGTTAAGCCTAGTTTATGTGCTGAGTTAAATTTACTGAGTTCATCATGTCTTTAGTTACATTTTATGAATTATTCTTTGAAAAATTGGGAAAGTTGGAAAATATTTAAAATATGTTATGAATTCCATATAGCTCATGACAAGGAAAGAAGAGAATAAAACTTTACTGTTACATTAATTAATCTAATTTGAGATAGTTTTAATAGTTAATTCAATGTAAAGAATACTTTGTGTTTTAAATAGGGTGATATGAGTTTTATAAAGCTTTTATTCTGATATAGTTTATTTTAAACTTTAGGAGATTGACTGCATTATTTTACTGTATCCTTTCTCTATGTCAGATAAAAGACATCAAAACTGAAATTTTTAAATTTTAGGATAGAATTTTATGAACATTTATATATTTTAAATAGTTTTTGCGTATAAATCTGAACTTTTCTTTATAGACTAAATTTTGTTGTATTTATGACTATTTAAGTTTGATAAGACAAAGTTTATAAAAAGCTAGTGTAAGATTAACATTTTAAGTTGCTCTTATATAGTAAAATAAGGAAATTCCAGTAAAGTAATTTCTATGAATAACCAGGAGGTGATTTGAATCCAAATCATTGGATTGTCATAATCAGAGATAAATAACTTCGGGACTTCTTTTTGATGTGTTTACTTATCCAGATACATCCGTGCACAGGAGCTCAAAGGGCACATTTGCTCTGATACTAATTCTAGTATCCAAGTGAATACTATTGGCAGTTTTGAAGGTTTGGGGTGGGAGCTTGCAGACCTTTCTAAAAGCTTTTAGAATCATATAGCTCTATCTATACTCTAAAGGGAGTTGTGCTGTAAGTGTCTTACAAAAATGTAAGATATCTCTAATGATTTTATATTGACATTGAAGCAGTGCTTCAATGTCAATATTACTTGTTTCTTATTTTTGTTTAGTGATCACTGAATATTTTAAATGATATGAATATCTTTGGATAGTTTTGGTCTCAACAGAACTTGTCACTTAGACTGTACTCATTCTGCCACCAATCTTTTGTGTATCTCTTTACAGTTGTTATTCTGTTGTCTGTCTCCCTTAATATTTACTATTTCCCTTGAAAACAGATGCACTTTTTAAATTTACGTTTAAATTTTATTTAACATCTGGTACCATCTCAGTGCTTAGTAGGTTTTATTTACTTTTTTCTTTTCTTGTCTTTTTATTTATTTATTTATTAAAAATTTCCACCTCCTCCCCGCCTCCCTTTTCCCTCCCCCTCCCAACCTCCCCTCCCTCTCTAGTCCTAAGAGCAGTCAGGGTTCCCTGCCCCATGGGAAGTTCAAGGTCCTCGCCTCTCCATCCAGGTCTATAAAGGTGAGTATTCAAACAAACCAGGCTCCCACAAAGTTAGTCCATGCAGTAGAATCAAAAGCCAGTGCCATTGTCCTTGGCTTTTCGGTCAGCCTTCATTGCCATCCACATTCAGAGTGTCCATTTTGATCACATGCTCCATTACTCCCAGTCCAGCTGGCCTTGGTAAGCTCCCATTAGATCAGTCCCACTGTCTCAGTGGGTGGACGCACCCCTTGTGGTCCTGACTTCCTTGCTCATATTCTCCCTCCTTCTGCTCCTCATTTGGACCTTGGGAGCTAAGTCCAGTGCTCCATCCCTGGGTCAAGGAAGAAATAAAGAGAGAAATTAAAGTCTTCCTTGAATTCAACAAAAATAAGGACACAACATACCCAAACCTATGGGACACTATGAAAGCAGTGCTAAGAGGAAAGTTCATAGCACTAAGTGCCCAATTAAAGAAAACGGAGAAAACACACATTAGAGACTTAACAGCACACCTGAAAGCTCTAGAAAAAAAGAAGCAGACTCACCCAGGAAGAGTAGAAGACTTGAAATAATCAAACTGAGGGCTGAAATCAACAAAATTGAAACACAAGAAACTATCCAAAGAAGCAATGAAACAAAAAGCTGGTTCCTGGAGAAAATCAACAAGATCGACAAACCCCTATCCAAACTAATCAAACGGCAGAGAGAGAACACGCAAATTAACAAGATCAGAAGTGAAAAGGGGGACATAACCACAGACACAGAGGAAATTCAGAGAATCATTAGATCTTACTACAAAAGCCTGTATGCCACAAAATAGGAAAATGTGGAAGAAATGAACATTTTTAAGATAAATACCATATACCAAAATTAAGTCAAGACCAGGTGAGCAGTTTAAATGGACCTGTAAGTCGCAAGGAAATAGAAGCTGTCATCAGAAACCTCCCTACCAAAAAAAAGCCCAGGACCAGATGGTTTCAATGCAGAATTCTATCAGAACTTCCAAGAGGAGCTAATACCTATACTCTTTAATGTGTTTCACAAAATAGAAACAGAAGAGTCATTGCCTAACTTCTTTTCTTTTTTTTTTCTTTCTCTTTTCTGTTTCCTCTTTTCTTGTGTGTGAGTCTTTCTGTGTAGCTCAGGCTAACCTCAAATTCATACCCACTCTTTCTCCTTTTTCTTGGGTAGGACTTTTGAGAGTTTTGCCAGGCAAACATTCTATGACTAATTCCATCCACAGTTCTTGTCCTGACTTGGAGTCCAGGCTGCCCTCACATTTACAGCTAGCCTACTCCAGAATCTTGAGTGTTGTTATGATTACCAGTGTAATTAGCTACCATATTCAACAAGTATACATTTTTACTGCTTAGTTGGTGTTTATATAGCTTCAGGTGGTTTTATATGTCATTATTTTTTTCACTGATTCATTTCAACAATATAAAAATCTAATATGTTCACTGTTTTTACTATGTATTGTAAGGAGGTGAGTGTAATAGAGTTTATACTGAATACTTGGAGGTGGACACAGATGAGATCATAAATTTTAGAGAACACATCTATGTAATTCTTTTTCTGTGATATATTTAACCACAACACGTTTATTATTAACTTGGTGATAATATTGAAATATAGACAAAAGATTACTGTATAATTTCATTTTTGCTGTATATGGGAGCAACCTGAAGGTTTTTTTTTGAAACCTTACATAAAGGGCATTAAGTGCAAAGAAATTTTTGAAAATTTTATAATTTTTTATGTCATGGATTTTAAAGCCCAAACTCAGAATCAATATTAGCATATAGTACCCATGTATAAAGTCAATGAGAGCATAGAGTCCCACATATACAGTCAGAGTAAGCTACAGTACCCACATAATAAAGTCAGTGTGAGAACACAGAGCCTACATGTAAAGTCATTGTGAGCATATGGTACCCATGCATGAAGTCAATGTGAGCAAACAGTACCCATGTATAAACTCAACGTAGTGTACAGTACCCATGTATAAAGTCAGCATGAGCATACAGTACCCATGTATGAAGTCAGTGTGAGCTTATACTACCCACATATGACGTCAGTGTGAACATACAGTACCCACATATGAAGTCACTGTGAATATACAG